TCAATCGGCACCAGTTCTCCGGTGCACGCCAAGACGGCTTTGGAAGGTTTCGAGAGCATGAGACTCGAGATAGTCTTGTGCACTTGATAATAACAAAACTGCTGTAGGAAGTTAGCCAGGATATAGATAAACACCACAGCGCCGCCTTCGATCCATTGCTGAATGACCAGCGTCCCGATTACGGTAATCGTAATGAGAACATTAAAATCGATCTGCAGATTGCGGACTGCGCGTGCGCTCGTCTTCAAAACCGGTAGCATTCCGAGAAATATTTGAACAATAGAAACCCAAAGATACCAAGACGCATGTGAGAGCATGGCGGACAGTGCGATCCCAAATAAGACAGTTTGTACGACCAGGGCTGCAAGAAGGAATTTGAGTTCCCTCGGAAAACCATCTTCGTCTTCCTCTTCCGCTCCTGCATCGACAATGGACGCCCCCAGGTGACGCTTGTTCAAAGTCTCCAGCAGCTCGGGGGGTGTGACTTTCTCCTGGTCGTGGGACACGTAGGCCACACGGCCCAGGACGTTAACCCGTATTTTGTTAATTCCCGGTAACTTGCCTGAAAAGAAGAAAGAAATTTGGAAACATGGAAATAGACATCTATAAAGAAGTTAATCTGCGGTTAAGAGAGTTCTTTCCTTTAAGACAATAAACAGTTTTGTGTGATATGACAGATATGTACTTTAAGGATCTGTTCAGTGTATACATTGCATTAATACTATATTATAGATCAAGATCGGCAAAAATGTCCATTCCGGTCGGGTGTGATAAAGCTTTCATATTGAAAATTTTATCCCACTTTACTGTGTCCCCACCTCGTGCAAGGTGAGATCTCAGCTACACACGTAAAAACGCACAAGTTGTAACAAACCTGCAGCAGACTTGTAGCAATGCTGTTCCAACAACTTGTTAACAGGATGTGTTCGCACTGCTTGTTCCCAGCTTGTTGACAAGTTCTCAACGGCTTGTTGACAACTTGCTACAAGGTTGTTGAGCTCAGCAGACTTGTTACAAGTTGTTTCAGCAACTTGTTATCGTCCTGCAATTCAACAATTTGTCAACAAGTTGTGAGTGACAACCTTGTAGCAACTTGATAAAATAACAGCATTTTTACAACTTGTCGACAAGCTTGCTACAAGCCTGTTGGGAACACATCTTGTTGACAAGTTGCGAGATTGTTACGTATATAACCAAACCACCGACACTGACTTACCTAATTCCTCTTGAACGATACGGGCTTCTTTTGGGCAACATATATTCTGTACTCGAAGTTTGGTGGTTTGAAGTGGTGCTTCAAGAATGATCATGCCACCTTTCGCTTCCACTACGAAATTTAACTCATCTGCGTGGTCCAAAGACGAATCGAAATCCTCGTCACGGTCACCGCACGTGTGATCCGTACAGCGAGCCACGTCATTGTTGTCATGGTGACTGGGTCGATGGTGGTATTCATGTTTGTGGTGGTGTTTATGGCCATGGTGAGGCTCGCCAATGCAATGGTTGCTTATTTTTTCAGCATGAAATGTGGTTTGCTTTGATTTCTTAGCCGATTTTGGTGTGTGCTTCCGCGCATTAAATGATGGAAAATATTTCTCGTCTAAGGCTTTCGGGGAGGAAGAGTTCTTTCGAATTATTAATTTTCTTTCCTCACCGAGCAACCGCGGCATTGGAAGCTCAACGATGGTGTGGTTCCTTTTCGCTTCATTTTGGGGGGTTATAAGTCTGGGGCTGTCTTCTTCTCGGGTAAGCGGAGCAGGCATTCTTCAAGCTTGTTCCTATACAGAAAGAATGGTCAAAATTGGTAGATTGTTACTCTTGTTCTGCGATATGTAGATGGGAGGGGGGGGGGGATAGGGGGTTCCAGACCCTTTCCCACTTTTCTTCAGGAGCAAATTTGTAATTCTTTCAAAACTGAGGAGAAACAGGGGGGGGCAGCCTCTTGTCTATGACATAAAATATACCAAATCGGTGGCTTTCAGATGATCATAAAACGTGTCTAAAATGCATTAAATAGCGTTCCGCAGAAAATAAAAATTTCCAGGAAACCATGCCCCCGGATGGCCGGGCCCATTAGACCCTACGCCCCTCAATGGAATTTTCGAACGAGAGTAGCTGCGAAAATTGCAATTTAGACCCTGTGATTTGGTCGCGTCGAATGCAATTAAGACAATAGATAGTGAGACGATAAATCTCATTTAACAAGACGCCTACTCAGGCGTTCACTCCGGGTACAGGGCCTTAACTAAGCGCAAAGCTACTTTAACGTATGCTTCTATACGGCAATGAAGGTATCTTTAATGCATGATATTTAGCATA